AATTAATTAATTAATTTATATATTGAGAACTGTTGGAACTAAGAGCCAAATTGCAAACCGTGTACTTTAAACTATTTTTTTATAACCGGGAATAAATATTTCTAGATATTAAGAAATGACAATAATTTAAAAAGCAGTTTAAGATATTTTACGAGTAAATATATGAGTATTCTTTTCTAAAACAAATAAATATCTTCGTGTTATATAAAAAAATTTAAATAACGATAATATTAATATTTTCGACTTTCTTTTTAATTTCTTGTGTTGTTTATGTATATTACTAGTTCGAAAGATAAAGAATGCATTTGATCAATAGTAACGCAACAGGGCTTTTTATCGGTTAATTCTATTTGCTCCAACTACATAGGTAAACAAAGAACACATGCTTTACTGAGAGATCTAACATATGGGATTTGTTTGGACATTTCTAAACTTGTCTTAGTCGTGTAGATGTACACATCATGCCCTTAAATCCCGAATAGAATTTGTATTCCTATGAAGAATGAAGAAGTATTAAAATAATAAATAAAAATGTCTATAAATTTTAGCAAATACTTCAAGAAAAGTAGATAACATTCGTCGAAATTAAAATATACATTTTTCCATACTTTTGTCAATCGTTATTATTGTCACTGTTTTTAAATTATACACAGTATTGAAACTGAACTAAATATTTCGCATTAATGAACAGCTATTTCTGTAAATGTTATGAGGATGTAGATGTTTTTAGATATATAGAAGTTAAATTTCATTAGAAAATTATCTGCTAGTAGATTAAAAGGGTTGAATATCTCTAGCGAGAAATGTTTACATGAATTCCGATTAAAAAAAATATATCCGTCCATGAAGACGCTGCCTGCGGATATCATCTGTCTAAAATTGTACCTATGTGATGGTATTTATTACTGGACCTAGAAATTTGAGGATGTAATATCATAACACAAGGATATTTTTGTATAGATCACTTCATATCATTTTACTATGTTATTATGTTGCCAATATAAGTATAGATAAAAGTGATAGAAAAAATTTCCATTCTTGCATTATATTTAAAATAGTGGATAGGCATTTCAAGGACATACAGGTATATATGTGTTCTACGACCTACATCAATATCGACTAACTCGTATCTGTATAATATTATTTGGCTGTAATCAATAACTCAATATCAATCAATATATTGTCTTTTACGTCGAATACTTAGCGATTGATCTGATAGATGCTAGTCAATTTACTCACTAGCCACATTTTCTAGCATGGAACTAACATGCTGTATATAAAGGTATATACTATAATTCATTCGGAAAGTAAGGCAAAACAATAAATCATACATGTCATACTCGTTCTTCCATAACTTGAACTGTTTATGTTCTTCTTTAGCTCTTTTGAAAAATTAAAAACTAACATTCCGAAATATGATAGCCAGCGGAATATAGAGATTAACTCGTTCCTACAAAAGTGATTAATCATGAATTATTGTTTTTAGTAATCAGTTACAAGAGAATCAAATTATTAATAATCCGAAAACGATTATCACATAATCTTCTTTACAAGTAGGTAATTAATTTCGAGATAAATAAGATTAGTTGGCAATTATAATTATTCTGATTGTATAAGCAATTCTTTATATCCGTTTAGTTAATCGCAGTTTTGTTGTTTATTAACAATTTTAAGGGGTGTCTTTCCTATAACGTTTTTATTTAGGACGCTTCGTTAAAAAGATACAGGGTGTCAAAATAATTTCAATTTTCTTAAATAATTTAAAAACTAGTAAGTGAAATTTTCTTAATAAAAAGCCTTTTCTTTTTTTTTAATAATAATTCGATTATTGTTATAGATGGACCCAACAAACTATACTCTGTTTGGAAATGAAAGAGAGTAATAAAACCCCGAGATAAGAACCGGCCATGGGCGTGCTAATATTTCGTTTCAGGTAATTATCGGGTAACACTAATGCTAACAGGTAATGGGTGTACATTAGTATATTTTACCGGATACATCATAGGGCAGGAGCCAGTGAATTGTGACAGATCAATCCAGTCTTAGAGATGAATATACGAAGACGTGCTAGTGCAGTAGAGTAAAATTCGACTTGTGTTTAGTGACTAAAGTACACTCATTTTATTTTAAAAAAGAAATACCAACGCTAAACAAAATTTTAAGTGAACTTTCAGAGGACAACGATTTGCCAAAAATCAGTAGAAGCAAATTATGGGCCGTCTTACGAGAGTTGAATTTTTGCTGGGAAAAGCAGAACAGGAAGTCAGTTCTTATCGATAAAGATGAAATTATTTGTTGGCGAAGATCCTACTTAAGATCAATTAGAAAATTCCGTGACGAAGGGAGGAATATTTATTATCTAGACGAAACTTGGGTCAACGAGGGATATACTGTAACAAAAGTATGGCAAGATAAAAATGTAAAAAGTTTTCGACAAGCATTTTTGGATGGACTTTCAACAGGGTTCAAGGCACCTTCAGGTAAAGGGCGAAGATTAATAGTGACACATATAGGTAGTGCCAGTGGTTTTGTAGATGGCGGTTTACTTTTATTTGAATCTAAAAATACAGGTGACTATCACGAAGACATGAACGCAGATGTTTTCGAAGAGTATTTTACACAGATGTTGGATCTTATTCCTCCGGGGTCTGTAATTGTCATGGATAATGCCAGTTACCATTCACGGCAGACCGAGCGGACGCCTACGACTGCTTGGAGGAAAGCCGATATAATTCAATGGTTATCCGGAAAAAACATTTCTTTTGAAACAAATATGGTGAAAAAGGAACTTTTGACACTTGTCAATCTTAATAAAGATCAGAAAAAATATGTTATCGATGAAATGGCAACAAATCGCCAAATAACGGTACTACGGTTACCACCTTATCACTGTGAACTTAACCCAATCGAATTAGTCTGGGCGCAGGTAAAAGGAGATGTAGCGCGAAATAATACGACGTTTAAATTAAGTGACGTGAAAATTTTGTTAAAAAATTCCTTGGAACGAGTAACTGCAGATAACTGGCAAAGATGTATACATCATGTACAAAAAGAAGAGGAGAAAATGTGGGAACTCGATAATTTAATTGACGTTACTGTGGAACCTATCGTTATCAATCTAGGAGACGAAGATAATTCATCAGAATATTCAGAGGATGAATTTTAATATACCTACTTTTTTATTTTCTTTATTGTACATTTATACAACACTACATTTACTCACCATAATTTGAATTTTCAAAATACATATATTTTTGTGTGGAATAAAAGTCTATTCATTAAATTTAAATAAATATTTTGATAATAATATTGAATAATTTTATTTGAATTACTAAAAACCCTCTTAACCCGGTTATGATGCTTAAAGTAGCCTCATGTTTTGAAATGCTGTTTTTATATTGTTTACTTATAAGAGAAATGGACCGAGAAATTGAAGCGGCATAGACAAAGACGGATTGTCGGGGATTAAATTTTAGCTACCTGCTACAATTTAGTACAGTCCGATCGCACAAAGTTTTGTTAAAAGTAGACCTCGTCTATACGGAAAATACATAATATAAAAATATTGAATATAAGCACCAGTACTACATTTATTTACGATTTGCATACATAATGAGCTTTTATTACTCTCTTTCATTTCTAAACAGACTATATATGACTATGCTCGACAGAGAATGTTCTATCCAAATATGTAAAAATATACAGGGTGTTCAATTTAAATTAACAAAGTTAACATCCGCAGCCATTTTGTTTGGACCTCATTTGTTTTTCTACTTTCAAAATTCATAAAAAATCGTGCAGCTTTTGTATTTCACATTTTTTTATAACTCTAAAAACAAAAAAGTTAATGAGGGGGTTAAAATATAGTGAATCACCCGGTACTTATCACCGTCTTCAATAAGCTCGCAAAAATCAATCTGTTTTCGTTTTCGTAACTTAGAAACATTTTTTTAATTCATTTATTACTACTTTAATATTGCCATCAAAGATCGAAGTTCGATCGAGGTAATTTGGAGTTTCTTTTAATTTTTTTAATGATACTAGTCGATGGCTTAAAATATAATCTATAATATAAATATTCATATTTGTGGTGCCATATATACACATAAAGTGTGCTATTTACATACATGTACATAATTCATAGTTACATTCTACCACTGGAAGAAACACGGAGCAAATTAAGAGTATGTAAAAGTATGTGCAAAATGCGAGTCTCATTAAATACAGTTGGCAAATAAATTGTTCAACAGTGTCCAGAAGTACCTACAACGGAAATGTAAGCGTCCACAAATTAGCACAAACAAAAGTAGGAACATGCCGTTATTTTCTTCCTACTTCGCAACCTCTGTATTGGAAACAGCTTTATTTGGATGAAAATAAATCTAACAGATGAGTGCTCTGTCACAGTCTGACTTTCTGGAGTACCGACTAAGTGGGAATTTTTAAAAAGCCTTTCAATGTCTCTACTTATTAGTATTCTTTTCATATAGTCGGTAGTTAAGTTTTATTTATACATATCTGATAATACTGACACCAAGTCTAAACGAAAGTGAATGCGTATAGCAGCAGCTTTTACGTGACATTTATTAACTCCAATAAAAGTGTGACAACATTTATGAATTGAAAACAAATAACGTAGGATTTTTTATTTGAAATTCCTGAAAGAAATTAAAGACATTACATTTCCTGTTTAAATTGCAATTTTATACTAAATCTAATACACATTGTTTTCTAAGTAACACTGTTATACATGTTATGAAAGTTTAAAAATAATGAACAATCCAATATTTTGATATAAAATTCCTTTGAGGTTATTTTAAAAACATTTTTAGAGCAATATATAAAAACTTCGAAGGGTGTTTCATTAAGAAATTTACATTTACACTTGACTAAGATGAAATATATCTCTAATGTATGTTTATTTAGGCAACACATTTATTTTGTGAAATAAACCATAGGGAATGCCAAACTGATTGCTGATCTCTTTAATTTGTTTTCAGTATGTATGGTGCGTTCCAGAGAAGAACCCTACTTCAGCAAGAGCCCGAAAAACGTAAACGTTGTTCTGGGAAAATCGATTACAATGCCATGTGAAGTCACGCCGAACAACGGCATCAATTACTATTGGCAATTGAACGGTGAGTTATCAAATCGAAAAAAAAAATATATTTTGTACACTACGATATTGTAAAGTGTAAAATGTACAAAGCTTTCTAAAGATCACGAAAGCTTCGGAGAAATATGTATACACGGAATTGTTTGATCAATAAAGTAACAAGTGTTTAGCTCTCATGGATTAATTATAAGTAGTAGTTAATAAATTTGGCATAAAGGTACAATATCCCTTTTAAGAAGTTTGAGACTAATAAAAGGACACATTAATCTTATTTACACATGACTATACCGGTTAAGAAAAATTGGGGCATATATTTATAAAAAAAACGTTCAATATGGAGATAATAAAAAAGTGTTTATATTTTCATTTAAAATAATATACAGGGTGTTTTTAAATGAAGTAGAAAAAATGGTACCAGTGAATGTAGAGCCAAAAATAAGAGGATGCAGTAAAAATACCTTATATGAAAGTTACACCCCGATATGCCCTCTTAAAGGAGGGGATTGAAATTCACATTTTAATTTTTTTCTTTAACATGAGGAATGCTAGAGACACGAAACTTGGTATGAGCATCCTACCAATAAAGAAACAACTTTTCAATATTTGTTCGATCATTGGCGTATTTTATAAAGGAGTGAAACAGTCAACTCCATTGCAATATTTTATTAGAAATTTTTTATATGAAGCAAATTATTTATTTAAAAAGATATTGCGCAACTTATTTACCTCTTGTAATTTTTCGATAAAACCGATAGTTTTCTAGTAAAAAAATTAGATGCGTCATCGTTCACTAAAGGAATAATTGCGAAAATTTTTAAAAATAAAGTAGACGGATGTTACAACAAATAAATTGTTATTTATCATATTAATAAATTGACACTTTCTGTCAACCAATAATTAGTACCAATTGATTAATTTATTATCAGAATAATTATGGCAATTAATATTTATTCCAATTACGAATACTTATGTGGACATGATGATACGACATGAATATATGACAATGAGGGTGCCGGAAGAAGCCGTAATGTCCGAACTGTTGAAACTGAGGAAACTATACTGGAACATCTAGAACAAGACTGCGGTACAAGCACGAGACAGGTGTCCAGGCAACTGCAAATTTCTCACAGTCTTGTGTGGAATGTAGCTCATGAAAATATTTTATACACTTTTCACCATCAACCTGTGCAAGAATTGAATCACCCTAATTTACCTAATCGCGTGGATTTTTGTCCATGGTACATTAATATTTCCAGGCATGACTTAAATTTCCTAATGAATATACTTTTCACCGATGAAGCAAATTTTCCTAGAGTAGGTGCAGTAAATATTCATAATGTTCATTCATGGTCGGAAGAAAATACTCATGAAATATTTGTTTTAAGATGTCAACATAATTTCAGTTAAACGTTTGGATGGGAATTGTATGAAATATTCTAGTAAGTTCTTTTATTCTTCCACACAGGCTTGGAGCGGCCGAGTATCTCAGATTTTTAAACGAAAATCTTCCAACAATACTTGAATCGTTAAATTTAAATTACCCGAATCGCTGGATTGGTCGTGGTCGTGATGGCCCTGTTTGTTGGCCTGCACGTTCATCTGACCTAACGCCTATGGATTCTTTTGTGGGGACGCATAAAAAGTATTGTTTATGCCACTGCTGTTGCCTCCTTAGAAGAACTACGCTTAAGAATATTTCAGGCAGCAGATGACCTTCGCAATAACCAAGAACTGTTTGTGTGAGTGCGTTATAACTTCAACAGACGTATTAGGTTATGCTTGCAGCAAAATGGAAATTATTTCGAGAATAGTCTTTAAATTTAATTTTGCATTTCTTGTTTTTCGTTTGTATTAAATTTTATTTCAGATAAACAACTTTACCTGATACATGTCCCATCTTATTGACAGAATGTGTCAATTTATTAATATCATAAGCTGTTTCTTATAATAGAAAATAATAAAGTTCTTATTTTAGATTGAAAGTGATCCTCTTTCGAAATTACCATTCGTTTTTACAACACTTATACAGGGAAAAAATTCCTGATTTAGTTAACTAAATATGCTAACTACCTTACAAGCTAAGCTAATTTTGATTTGAACAATAATACGTTTTCCTAAAATGTAGAAAATGCATGTCTCTTTTCCTGAAAATGTCTCATATTTAAATGCTAATTACACAGGTACACAAAAAGAGTGATGGAGAAATACTCCTTCACAGCAGGATATTTCCCTAACCTCAAAAACACCTCAAAATCAGTGGAAGTCTCGATTTTTTTGTTAAAATGGTTTGAAATTAAACTACAAAGACGTATCAATACAATCAAAATAAAAACTTTTTATTCCCACAATTTTTTCTCTAAAATGCCTGCTTGTGCAGTTACAGCAATTTTTAACCAATTTTGAGCATTATTAAATTAAAAACTTTTTATTCTTGCACTTTTGTCTCTAAAATACATTATTGAGGAGTTACAGGCATTTTAATGATACTCAAAATTGATTTAAAATTGCTGTAACTCCACAAAGAGGTATTTTAAAGAAAAAAGTGCAGGAATAAACAGGTTGATTCTATTAACATGCCTGTGTACTAATTTCAAAATCTTAACTATTTTAACAAAAAATCGAAATTTCCACCGATTTTGAGATTAAGGAAAAATCCTGACATGCAGAATTTCGGATGATTCCATCGTCTTCAGCGAATCAAAATACAGGGGTAAAAAGTATATGAAAAAAAAAATTGTGTGGCTATATTATTAAACAACACTTTTTAATATCATCCAAATATCTTTAATAATAATGAAACTTCAACATTGATGATCTAACCTCCAGAAATGCTGATGTTTCAAAGAAGCAACTTGGTTTCCGAAATTGCCGAATTGAATTGTTTGCGGATGGCAGTATTTGCCAAGTAAATGAGAGAATGGGAAGCGGTTGCAGACAAACTTAATCCCAGGTAATCCGCAAGCATCATGAAAATTATTCTCAATGCAAACTGCCGCAGTGGTTTGTATAAAAGGCGGTAATGAACAGAAAAAAACTGATTAGATAAAAGGTGCAAATATTTTTATAGCAGAGCTTTATTATACACATTAAATAATCTAACGACAAACTGATTGCCTGGAATCGGAGACTTCAATACAAAATTTTAGAAGTGCAGAACGGAATGGTATCGATAAATATCGATTCTCGTTTATATATGGTTAACGCTCTTATTTCATAATTTGATACCATACATATAATAGAACTTTCATTAATGGTAGGTAATTTAAAGTTTGATAGAAGGTATACAGGGTGTTCTACCAGTTTTGGTAGCTGGGTTAATTTCAAACATTTTTCCTTATATTCGTTTTTGTTTTGAAGTACCAAAATAGCCAGATAAATAAATATGATGGTTGCTATAACAATTATTATTATTTGTGTCATTTTGTTTATTCATTTGACACATAAATGCTAAATAAAAAATGCATTTATTTACAACTGAAGAGTATTCAGATATTGTCTTTGTATGTGGGTGTTCCAATAGATATCCAAATAGACATCTTTAAATAAATTTAACAAATTCTTTCATTTTTTATCATCATTTTACACCATTTTTTTATAACGGAAAAAAATGTCGAATTTAACCCAACTACTATGTGTCAAATTTGTCATATTTAGAGCTAGTGGAACACACTGTATTATAACTAAACAACATCTCTTGAAAAGCACGTTCTCAGTTTCAAAATAAAAAGAAAGGTTCTTAGGAATAGCTGCCTGCAGCTGCTTTGTTTCTAAAATGAAGCAACTTAAGAAATCTCAAAGAATGATCTTTTCAGAATTATTAACCATCAAAAACGAGAAACTTTAATCTGCTTTAGTACAATATTACAATATCAGTTTCTCTTTGATATCAGTCCGCTTTAACTCGATGAGCTAATTTCAAATAAAGTCAAATAAACCTTGAGCTTGGTTTATCAGAAATCAAGTTTAGATCGTGGTTTTAATGTACGTATCCCTTAGCATTCGTATCGGAAAGAAAACAATTCCAAAATTATATACAATCCATAATAGTAGAAAGTCAACCATCTGCGAACAAATCAACCGTTTAACCAAAATCAATCTTTTAGACAGTCTCTCACACTTCGAATATTTCGATGGCCCAACCAACTTATATCACTTTATCCGTACCCCATATGACAACAATTAATACCCATACAGGAAGACACGTTTTCGGAAAACCCCATAACATACAGAAACCTGGACAAACTGAAATGTAACCAATAATAATCCAAATCCAACGCAAACTTCCACTGTTAATAAAAATTGAAGACATTTCGTACAGATCCACGTTCACAACATAGGCCAAATAACTTTTAACGAATAGATATTTCTCTAACATTAACACTTGTTTACAAATGTACCAAAGAAATGTGTAATTCTACTTATTTATTTTTTATTTTTAATTTCTTTTGGCAGATTTATGAAATTAATTGTGCGAGGAATTTAATATCCGTAGGAAATTCCGCTGTCCCAGTAAACTTGTTATGTACTTCCATTAAATCTAAACGTAGCGCTATTCCCGTCCAACAAAAAAGCAAACAAATGCGCGTCTGTCCTTGATCTGTTCAGCGCACCGCGTATTTCTTTGTTTTGCTTTCGTCGAGAATCCGTCCTAATAAAGAGTGACCGCTCTGTTGACAGGCATGAAAATACCGAACACGACTCGCCGCTATCAGCAGGGCAGCAACTTGCACATAACCCGCGTCGACCGAGAGAGAGACTCCGGCCAGTTCACTTGCATTGCCGAGGACATCACGGGACAGTCCAGCCCGATCACCAGCTCCGCAGCCTCCATCAACATTCAATGTGAGTATGATTGATTAATTCATTCCTGTTATGGAGTGTATAAAGTTGTGTTGGAAAATGGGAAAACAGAACAAACGTAATAGCTACTATGCACTGCTATGTTTTATTTCACATTCTGCTTTGAGAAAAACCCTCCAATTTAACTATATTGTTAAAAAATACAATTAAAATAGGACGCAGCTATTTTAAATACCTTCTATCTACAAGCAAATTATTTCTTACAATGAGTAATATCAGTTATGATCAGTATGTTTTGATGAATTTTAAAATTAACTTCCAGTAAGTGATTTTGTTACTATTATGCAGCTAACTGAAGTTGGTAAATAAGATAACTAAAACAGATATTATTACTACGACTAAACCTATTACTATGCACAGTGGTAGGTACAGATAGCTACCACAAATAATTGTATTCTTGCGACTTATAAGTTGCTCTATTTCCCACCAGTTTCCACGTCGTTGGTTTAGACTTCTTTACATGTTGCTCTCCCTCAGGATGTCGCAGAAAGAATAAGAGCTGAAATAGCACACGTGTTACGAAGACGATTCCGTCTACGAAAGAAGTCCAAACCATGAAGGAAACGAAATAAAATGAAAAAATAACCATATTCCTGGTCTCCAAAACAAATGCAACTGTTATCGTTCACGAAATAAAAAACATATCAAAAGTGGAGAACATACTATAGGATAAACGTATAAGAAGATTAAGAACAACAATCAAAAACGATGAAAAAAAGGTGGCATTTGCGATATGAGTGTCTAGCATTCCTACAGAACATAGGGATTTTCTTTCGGGTGATTCAAGAACGTCTCAACTTTATTGCCTTTGAGATTTTATTGACAAGATCAAAAGAATGCAACCAGATGCAGATGTCCTAGTGGGTATAGTTGTTATTTACGATAGTGCCAATGAAAGAAGTTTCGGAAGAAATTCGTCGTAGGCTCATCGCAGAAGACAAAGATGACTTGACAAAAGTTTACACCAGATGGATCAAGTTATCCTTTAGGGACCAGTTTTATGAACAAACTGAAGGAGCAGTTATGGGTTCACCCTTGTTCTCAAGTTTTTTCCACATATCCACATAGAAACCTTCGAGAAGAAAGCTTTTGAACCAGCAAATCTAAAGCGAAAAGTTGGTGATACAGTTACTATTTGGTCCTGTGGATATAACAACATAGAAAGTTTGTTCAACCACATCAATGTCATACATCTGAACTCGTGGTACCCTGTATTTCCTTGGTGTCGTTTTCAATAAAACACCAGGCAAAAGCAAAGGCACCAGGCTAAGCCCAAATCTATACAGAAACTCACACAGATAGATAGCACGTTTCATCTGCAAGCCACAACATTTAGATGAGGAAGTGCAGCACCTACGACTTGCTCTTATAATAAACGAATAGGATAGTTCAATAATCTTTGTCCTTAGACAAGGAGAGTGAGGAGGAGTGGCATTAACTTATTTGTCCTATATGCAAAGACGTAGGTACTTATAAAATAGGCAGCTCCTAAGGAAATATATTAATACCATCTGCAATACATCCTTTCCCAAGATGAGCTGAGCTATACAATGGATAATCAAGAAGACACATAAGTAAAAAGTTAAAGAAGCAGAAGTTGTGACTTGAAGAACAACAGTCCAGGAAAACAGTAATTACAGAGCACACAGCTGATACAGAACTAACTAACTAATACCAGAGTTATATTGAAAGAGAAATATGGTCAGGACTCTATAGGGACGCAATAGAAATCCAAAAGAATCGAAATAATTTGAATTGATGAGGGAGTTAGAACTACCTGAAATTAGTATCGACATGACTCTGCAAAACTCAGGGATAGGAAAAATAGACCAAAGACTACAAGACGTAGCAACTAGTCTGGAGATTGTTCATGCATTGACAACTGCTACAGGTGTCTGCAAGTCAACTCAAGGTGTATACCCTAAGTAGGCGACGTTGACATCTTAAGGTATTGTGCAGTATGGGGTACATTTTATAGTATTTGTTGTGTATGCAGTTTTAATTAAAAACCTTGACATGCTTTTGCTGTTTGCTTTCAGACGCGTAACAGATACGACTTGAAATTCATCAGAATTTATTGATTCGTTGTGGAATCAGAGTCACATCAGTGGAATAGTGTCCAAACAGTAAATTTTGTTTTAAATCTGAATAAAACTGCTACCGAAACAGCTGTTTATGGCCATGAAAACAAACCAGGATATATAAAATAGCACCCTTTTCTCCAGATTTGATTCATACTGGCTTCTAAATGTCTCCAAAAATAAAGTTACCCATAAGAGGAATACGTTGCGCTTAAACTGAGAAAATTGAAAGTAACGCGGTAAAGTTTCTGAAGTCGGTTCCAGCAGAATTGTTTAAAGACTGCTCCATATAAAATAAAACAGTTTGGAATCGAATTCAAAACCTATGTTACCTTTCTCTCTGGTATAACTAGGTTTCTAGTTATCAGCTAACGGTCCTTGAACACTTCGAACAGCGATATTTACATCACATATTGAGCTACTCACGAATCTATTGTCACCCAATTATGGGTCCTGTAGGTACGGATACAAAATAACTATTTAACCCATGCGTTCAGTGACATAAAATTCAATTTATTTTCTATGAAACAATTGCAGTCAACATGGAGAGTCATTGGCTATATAAGTTCGGCTTCTAATATTCGTTGCGTTCATTACAAACGTCGGCGTCGTTCAACATAGAATCCTCGATTTCGTTGCTAAAAACCGAATATACAGCGGCAGTCGGCGTTTGAACGCTTGTTAATTAATTGTTTGAAAGGAATGGTTGTGTGATATAGCAATTGTCCCGAACAATTGCGTTTCAGGTGGAAATTTTCAAAAAAAACTTCAAAGTACCGTGTCAGGCAAATTGCCACGTACTGCACGGACGAGTATTGTAAACTTAAAGTATGTATAGAATGAGAACTTTCATTACTTTTTATTAATTTCATTAAAATTGAAGGGGGGTGGTGAGCAAGGTGGTTTTTATTGATTCTCTGATGACGCGGTATTGAACAAGTCGTTAGTATCAAGTTCTAAGCAACATAATATGTATTAGATTTGCCTACATTTTGATATAAGGTTTTGATAAACTCTTTGGGCATTTTCGTTTGCTTTTCCATAAATTAGGAGCATATAATATTCACGATTGCTAAATAATTGCGCCATTTTCAAAAGAAAACGGCTATTAAATGTACTCTCGGAAAACAGCACAGCAATCACTACAACAATGTACTACAAACTGACTTTCTAATACAATCCGGCTTCATAAGAAATCTGCAAACTCATAAAAGGTGTTACAGAATTTTTTGTAAGTACTCGCCGCGATAAAATACATGTATTTCAGCAGTTCCAAAACAGTTGTAAACACATTTTTAATTAGCCTTTTCCTCTATGACCTTACACTTCCGATACAAGTTTGTGACATCAATTAACTCAGTTTTTACTCCTTTTTCACTCCTTTACATTTTTGATATAAGCTCGTTAACACCTTGTAAACATGAAACATTTAAAAAATGATAAAGGTGAGTACGGTCTGCATTGACTTTTAGTTTGTGATGATTGCTGTTCAGTTTATCAAAAAAATTTAATACCAATTCAACACTTCCAGTTTTTATTACTGCTCCTACTCAGTACCCTTTTCGGCAGCCGAATTTAACGGGGGTCATTTACAGCTTGTTTGTTATAAAAAGTGCATTAAAAGACTCAACACACATGTTGTGAATTAAAAATAACCCTAAAATTTCGGTGGAATCTTAATGTTAAGTAAGTTTATGAATGGTGCCGATTGTTATGACTCTGGTTTCCTGTCAAAATATATCGTTTATTTTTAGTTTATATGCGTTTCCTTTGCTTTGTACACAAAAACGAATCTAAATAAAGCGTAAATTTTTGTGTATAGAAAAAAAAACGAGTTGTAGGCACCGTCGTCGACTCGGGCACTATTTGCAATCTGCCGTACATCCGTCGGGTGTCGTCTTCACGTAAAACGAAAACAACACAACAAATCAGATCTTTCATGCGGTTTTTTATGGCTTGCCTTCATTTTATGGGCGCAAACAAAGAAACAGGAGGATTTACGCTGTCTACACAATTCCAACATCCATGAAGTTAACGTGATGTATGTAGCTGACAGAAATTTATAAATGTGTCACCGTTTAGATTTGTTTGCAATCACTTAAACATTATAAAATATGTCGGTACTGAAATCTTGACTATATATTGCATAGACGAATATTTGTGAACTCTATGAATATTTGCTGGCGAACATTTATGTACAGAGCTAAGACGAAAAACATTCGTCCTCAGAAATATTTGTCTAGGGCACACGAACAGTGCAAGGCGTGATTTGCATTGATTTACCAAGACAGCTATTTTCGTGTTATGTGTATTCAAATTTCGGACAATTGAGTGGAAAATATTCGTCAGATTTCACCATATTGAGTCGGTAAATTAACACAAATGTCGGCCTCATAGTTGTATTGTTGTGACTATTCGATATTGAGGCAATTTAATTAATTTAAAAGGTACAAATTATAGACCAGATAAACTGTACGTTTCAGCCTCTTAGTTGAAAACCAGCGAAATGTGGGGAAGTGTGGTATAAGAGCTAAGCAAAGCCACGCCTACTTTGTACTGGTTCGAATTAAACAAAAGTTTAATATACAGAAACTAATTTCTGCAACATATCTTAGTTACGAAATACCCTTTTACCATATGGAATTGTGCAGAGGAGAAGATTTTTATCTGCTCCGACAGTCAGGCCGCGCTCAGAGCGGTTAGATCCCCGAGAACTAGGTCTGCCCTTGTCCAGGAATGTGGAGACGCTCTAGAGTCATTGGCCAGGCGAAGAGAGGTAGAGTTTGGGTTCCAGGCCATATGGGTATCCCTGGTAACGAGAGGGCGGATCAACTAGCTCGTCTCAGGTCCAAAGGACCTGGCCAAGGACCTGAACCAATCTTAGGTATCACACGAGGCAAC